TCCACTTTCTGCCTCCCTGGTACGGGGAGAAGGTACTTGCCAAAAGCTCTGCTTGGTTTCCTGCCTTCTTAGCTGCCCCTTCTGCCTGGCTTCTCCGACTCTCTCCCCACTCCACTTAGGAATCAGCACATGGCTTGAAGCTCGTAACCATCAACAGATGCTCCCTTCTCCGTGGTTCTCGCATCTCTAGGGCATTTGTTCTTTGGGTCCTAGCTGCCTGAGTAGCTCTGAACTCCAGTTTTTGTCCCCCCCAGCCCAGTGAGACTGGAACACTCTAAGCTGTTCTTTTGTTTCTTCTGTGCTTATAAATCGGCAATGTCATGAGGGGAAAAGTAGGAGAGGTCCGGCTGAACTCAGTCCATGTCTCATCTCTCCGGGATCTTGGGCCCTCAAGCCCTGCCTTGGTTGCCCTCCAATGCCTTGAAACAATGGGTTGTAGCTTGTATTTCTTATTGTGAAAGTGAGATTGAACAAAAAACACAAACTACCCCATCACAGCTGGGAGGTGAATTCGGTTGGAGAGTTTAATACATATTAGGAAAAATGGCTTATTTGCATTTTCTCCAATATTGGAGAAAAATGGAACTTTAAACCATCTTAAAAGGAAGACTTCAGATGAATTAAAGATAAATCTGAAATGTAAAATTCCAAGTCAGTAGCTTAAAATGTAGACAAATTTTAATATCCCAGGGTTAGGGAAAGAATTTTTACACCTAGAAAAAAGGAGATTATGGGGCAAATATGTAAGAATTTTTTGTTCTATAAAATACCATAAATAAAGAGAAGAGACAAATGAAAGATTAAGAAAAGAAATTTAAAGCATCTAAAACCAACAGTGAACTGCTGCCTGGACTCTACAAGGCACTCCAGCAAACGAACAAGACAAGAAGAAGGAAAACAAAAGAAAACCCAGTAGAAAAATGGGCAAAGATAAAAGATATAAATAGTTCCCAGAAACTCATGCCCCACCATTATGTGAGTATATGTTCGAACTCACTAGTAATCATAGAAATGCAAATTAAAACAGCCATGAGATATCATTTTCCATCCATCAGTTCGGCAAAATTAGAAAGCTGGGCAATGCCCAGTGTTAGCAAGAACTCAGGAAACTAGACGCTTCCGTACTTGTGGTGGGATTCTAGGTTAGCACGGGGTTAACAGAGGCCAGCGTGCTAGTACTTGATCGGGTTCAGATCACGCACACCAGCGACACAGAAACCCTCCTCCTCCAATAGAATAATTGTAAGGATAATTTTAAGAATTACTTAAGAATTTTAAGAATATATGTGTGTGTGCACACATGTATATGGATATACATAAATTATATATATATTTTTTTAATGAAGATGTTCGTTGCAGCATTGTTTATAGAGGCTGAGAGATAAAGGCTTCCTAGCCGTCATCACTGGGGCAGTGCACATGGAATCCTAGCTATCAGCTAGATAACCAGCCATCAATATGTATGCATTTTAAAATCAGAGTACAAGCTGAAAAAAGAAGTGTAATAGACAGAATGAGATCTCGTGGACAACACTATTCATGTAAATTAAAACACACAGGGACCGGCCCCGTGGTGCAGCGGTTAAGTGCGCACACTCTGCTTCGGTGGCCCGGGGTTCACCGGTTCGGATCCCGGGTGAAAACATGGCAAGCCATGCTGTGGCAGACGTCCCACTTATAAAGTAGAGGAAGATGGGCACAGATGTTAGCTCAGGGCCAGTCTTCCTCAGCAAAAAGAGGAGGATTGGCACCAGGCGTTAGCTCAGGGCTAATCTTCCTCAAAAAGAAAAAAACAATTAAAACAACATGGTATCATTTTTAAAGACATATTTAATATGTTAGAGTCATTGTCTAGCATGGGGTGGAAAATATGGATAAATGGGAATTTTTAAACATCGCGTTGAGAGAAGCTAATCACTCATTTATAGATTTCCTCCCTCCCTCCCTCTGTCCCAGGCCCTCTGCCCTCCATCCCTTCCTTCCTCCCATCTTCCAACAGATGTTAATCAGGTGACAGAATGAACAGGATTCCGTGTCAGGTACTGTGGGGGAAATAAGGATGATTTCCACATTGGCTTGGCCTTCAGGGATCTTAGGCAAGAGTGTAAGACGAATACGCCACAAGCTTTAGTAGCAATACTCTGTCCCAGAGGTAAAGTTCACAGACACATTCCTGCTCTGCTGTTAGGTCAACAAATGCTGTTTGGATGTGCTAAGAGCTCTTGAGGATGACAGCAACACTCAGTAAAATAAATGAGCTATGTGACTGAGGCCAGAAGTGCCACATTGCTGTGTCTTTCCTCATCAGGCTTTTCCGATGATGCATATGCCAGGATCTCAAATGCAAAGCCCTATAGGGACCGGGAGGAAATACAAATGGAAAAAGAGAGTCAAATGTAAGGCACTAGGGAGTGGTGGGGACTGTGACAAACTGGAGCTCATATGCCTGGACCAAAATGGGCAGCTGCTACTCAGCTCCAGCTGATTGTTGCCATGCAGAAATGTGACAATATTTTTCCATTTTCAAGAGAAGCTGAAAATCTAGATTTTTATGTGAAATTGCCTCATTTTTAAATATTGGCAACCACTTCAAATCTTCAAATATTTTTAAACCCTGAGGAGGAGGAAAAAACAATTCATGTTGTTTATAACTGGATTTGGTCATTTAGCTAACAATTTGCTGCCTCAAATACCCATACTTATAACACCTGGAAATTTAGAGACGAGTGCTATTTTTTACATCATTGTTTATTTTTTAATCTTAAATTATTTGTACACACCCAAAAGGATGAAGGGAATGAGTTTGGATAAAATGTAAATTTCTGGCACCTACAGTCAGACGACAGGTCAGACGTCTGCTCTTTGCCGAGCTCCACACATAATGCTTTGATGTATTAAAGGAACGAGACGCCTAGGCCTCTCTCCTGGAGGGCCTGATGGCAGTCAAGGGACAAGAAAACAGGCATTCAGGACATACGTATACATGGGAATGTTTAGGACCCGAACGTTTATCAGCTAATGTAAAGACATAAACGGTAGAAGCTGATTTGCATGAGATTCTCCCATCAGATTATAAAGTATGTATAAAGCGCTTCCTGTGGGCAAGTCCTGGAATAAGTGATGTCTTTTTAAAAAATTTCTAAGTGCATCAGGCATGCAAAGATGTATAGTAACCATATGGCAGTTTTCTCCTCATACCCTAAAACAGAGGTTGGCAAACTTTTCCTGCCAGATATTAACTATTTCAGCTTTGCGGGTCTCTATGCCCACTGCTCTGCTCGGAAGATGCAGTATGAAAGTGACGGGGGACGGTACCGTGACCAGTGAGCAGGGCTGCGCTCCGAGAAAACGTTTCCATGGATGCCGCACCTTGGCTTTCACATCATTTTCACGTCATGAAATGATATCCTTCTTAGGATTTTTTTCAACCATTTAAAAAGGTGAAAGCTATTCTTAGCTCACGGGTGGCACAAAATCAGATGACAGCTGGATTTGGATAGGCCATAGTTTGTGTCAACCCCTGAACTAAAACGTTACAAACACAGTTGAAACCCCAGGGCACCACTTCCCAAACTGCAGCCCCCTTTACCTGCAGTGAGCCGTTCTGAAATCGGTGTTTGTCGTTCCTAGACATACTGCTATCGTTTGTTGCTTGTGTCTGCATCCCCAAACAGCAGACAGTATTGATTTGTGTATTTTTCACTTCATAGAAATGGTGTCATACCTTGGGCACCCTCGGCGCCTTTGCCCGGGACTCCGTTTGGCCATCTCTCCATCATGCTGTGTGGCGCTCCAGTTCAGTCTTTTTCCCTGCTGTATTGTATTCCGTTGTGTGAGCAGTCTGCTCCTAGCTATTCTTCCTGTGGTAGCCAATGGGCATTTAGGTGGCCGCCTGTGACGTCTTTTCTTGACACATATCGTCTCTTTTCGTCTTCACCTGACTGTCAGGGAGGTACTGTGATCATCCCCCTGGTCCAGATGAGAAGACTTCTCGTTTAGAGCAGTGTGCTAACTTGCTCAAGGCAGTGAGCGGCAAAACTGGAATTCGAATCCATGATCTTTTCACAGAATCCGAGTTTATAATCACGTCACTGTCAATCAGTGCGTTGTGTTTTATTCATGCAATGGTGACAGATCTGCCGAGGATGACCTTGCGACGCTATGTGGACTCAGAAAACTTAGCTTTCCCCTGAGGACAGCTTGAGTCGGCATCAAACCCAGCTGGTTGTAGTTTCGTCCTTTGAAAACTGCCGTGTGTGATGTTGTGCGTGTTAACCAGAACCCTCGTTTCCTAACCACGGTGGGTAGGAATTTTGGCGAAATAAGTACTGACATGGTGCAAGAGCTGGAAAAGTTTTCAGTAAAAAAAGAAAGACCAGGGAGACTCGTCCCCCTTCTCACTGGCCCCCGTCAACATGTTGTCAAAATCGTGAGTAATTCTGGAGCTGGTGTTTTCTCTCTTGGGAGGGACCACCATGATGGGCGGTGGAGGTTTGCCACCTAAGGGACCTGTTAAATATTGCCGACGCCTTTTGACCCTTTGTCTGTCTGTACAAGTCACACTGCGTCCGTTTTTCTCTCTTCACTGCAGTCGACTCGCACTTCTCCCCAAGCCTCTGGCTTTTGAAAATCCACATCCATTCCCTCTCCGCCTGTTTCTCCCTTCCTCTTCCAGGAGGTCTCCCTGGCTTGCTCCAGCTCATTTCAGATGACATTTGAAAGAGACCAAAGTATAATTTTTCTAATGGCAAAATACAGTAGGAAGGAGGGGAAAGTTTTAATCGTGTGGGTCTATTCTCCAGAGGGGAGCAAATCCTTCATTTTAATTCCTCATTTCCCTTTGATGAAAAGTTTAGTGAATTTTTATTATGTAGAATTTATAAGACGGCTGGGTTTAGGTAATCAGCTTTAATATTTATACTCTTAGGGAAAGAAGTAGGAATCATTAGTAAGCATGCATAATTAATGAATAAATTATATTTCCCTTTGTTTTTGTTCAGGTACAAGGAAATGCTAGAACTGGTGATCTCACCCAGCCTCTCCGTAAACAGTGATTGTGCGGGGAAACTGAAGCTGGGCCGCGCTGACGCCGATGTCTGGACTCTGAGTGACGCTGCAGGTAGGCCTCCTGGCGTGGGTTTTGGTGGACCTGTGGTGGTCCCTGCTTGCCCCGCTGAGTATGTAAGGGACTGATGGCCTTAGACACACGTCCTTCCAGAAGTACTGCCGTGTGACAGCTTCTCCTGCTGCTGTTTAGAGCGTTGCCACTGGACCGAAACTTGGGCATACGTAGCTGACAATTTTTGTCTAGTCATTAGAGGGAAAAGTGTGCTAGTCTGTGTTCTGAGCTTCCTGCCTTGGTCTCCAGTTTCCAGAAATGCCGACACCTGCCGCCCCTAGTCAGTTTCGGGTGTGTTCCAGGCCCGGCCCTGGGCGTGTCCCGCAGGGTCGCGGTCCCCCGGCTCCGAGCCTCTCAGCTCCGTCCGGCCAGCACCGCCTCCAAGCAGGCGTCTTGTTTACGGGGTTTTGACGCTGGGACGAGAACTCCTCTGCTCTTTGCTTTCAGGTCGGGTTGGAGTCAAGGAAGCAGAGGAGAGTTAAGCTGTTTAAAAAATTATTGGCAAATGATGCAGCCGGACTAGTTTTCGCCAGAACAATTCCAGCTATTGTTAGCTCTGTTTGGGATCTGTCAGCCTTCCTGGGAGAGCTGGAGTTAACAAAAGGCATTTAAGCTATTATGTTTAACCCTCGGGCTTAACCCTTTCTTTAACCGGCTTTGGGATTTGCTGCTGATGTTCTGGAACCCTCGGCTGTCTCTCCTTCACTGTCTGTGTTTGACGCCAGCTCAGGGGCACAAATACTGCGTAACTGTCGTGGAAAAGCAGAGAGACGTGTGTCTAGTCGACTATAATAGCCCAAGGAAGTGGCTTTAAGCAACTCCAGGGCTCCAGGAGTAATTAGTGCTGTCCCCAAGACTGTGAGGTTTCCCTTGCATGCTGGTGATGAAGCTGGAAGAGCCAGGAGGGTCTGGGCTCCCTCAGGCCAAACCCACACGGCAGAGAACATGCCCTCGTTCTTCCTGGCCCTTTGCAGCATCCCTGTAAACCACCCCAGGCTCTTTGAGAGTTTGAACAAATTCACTGAGCTGTGTTCAAAGTCATCCTTTTCTTTCTGAGTAGAGGCACACGTCACCTGGAGGCTGGCTTCCTTTCAGAGCCAGAAGAGATAGGAAAAGGCATGGACTGTGGAGTGAGGAAGGGCGGACTCTGAATCCCGGCCCCACAGCCTCCCAGCCAAATGGTCTTGGGCAAATTCTTGAACCTTTCTGAGCCTCGGTTTTGTCACCTGTCCAATGGGGGCATAGGGTGTTTACGGCAACGATTGAATGACATGCTGTGTGTAAAGTCCCTCACACCTGGGGGCATGGCGCGCTAGTTGAGTTTATTATTCCATTGTCCTTCTCCCCTGAATCAGATAACCACAGTGAATTCAAAACCGCAGTTGCAGACCCCCAGCTCCTAGCCAAGTCTGACCCTCAGGCATGCCTGTGTTTGGTTCACACTGTGTTTTAAATAAAAGTGACCTTGTAAGGAGCTGGCCCCGTGGCCGAGTGGTTAAGTTCGCACCCTCCGCTGCAGGCGGCCCAGTGTTTCTTCAGTTCAAATCCTGGGCACGGACATGGCACTGCTCATTGAGCCACGCTGAGGCGGCGTTCCACATGCCACAACTAGAAAGACCCACAACTAAGAATATACAACTGTGTACTGGGGGTCTTTGGGGAGAAAAAGGAAAGAAATAAAAAAAAAAATCTTTAAAAAAAAAGGTGTAAAAATCGGGCGAGTTCTCATAAAAATCTGGATTTCTCTTGAAATGCCGAATGCTTTGGCAACGCTGGGCCCGCATTCCCACCTGGCTGCCGCTGGTGGACACCGAGAGGCACCGCCTTTCAGATGAGTCCCTGCCTCTTGTCTTTAACTTATGTGAGCACATACTTAGTACCAGGTCCTGTTCAGAGCAATAGAATGTAGGTTAATCCTCCTCCTCTTCCTCCGTCATCATCCGAGCAAACAATTGGCACTTGCTGTGTGCAGAGCAATAATGTAGTAACTCATTCACTCCCCGCAACTCTGAGAAGTGGCTAGTGATATTAACCTCATTTTACAGATGAGAAAACTGAGGCACAGAGAGGTTAAGTGGCTCGATCGAGGTGACACAGTTAAGTGATCGTCAAAATTTGAACCTAGGTAGTCTGACTCCAAAGTCTGTTCTCCTAGTCAGTCGTGGACTGTTTCTCCTTCAATTATTACACTCCTGTTAGGGCAGGAGCGCCTTCTGCAGATGTGAAAGTAGAGGCACAGGGGAGTTAAGTGACCAGCCTCAAGCTGCACAGCTCACAGCAGGGCCAGGAATCAGCCCCCGGCCCTCGGGCCCCAGAGTCTCATCTCCCTCTCTCAACTCAGCATCACTTTCTGCCAAGCTCTTAAGAGTGTCCACAGCCCTGATGTCTGTCCTCACAGTGATGGCACCCACAGGCACACTGTTTCTCTCCTATTTTGTGACTGGGAGCTGTCTGCACCCTTTCCGTTGCCCTGGAGCAAGCTGGTGCCAAGGCGACGGCTTGGGGTAGGAGCGATGGGGCAGAGAGAGGTGGCTCCCAAATTCAGAGTGGGCCAGGCCGGCAGGGTCACCTCGCACACACACACTTTCCTTTCTCTCCAGTGGGGTGTGGGCTCCGGGACTCTGCAGGGGACATTCCACCCCAGCTGTGGCCTCGAGTGCCAGGCTCGGCTTCCCTTCCTGCCAGGCCTCTTGATCTCCCTCCTTCTGGGCCCTTCCTTCTGTTACAGGGTCGTTGTTGAGTGACCGCAGCACCCAGCTCCAAGGAGGACCCCAGGGAGACCGAGCCGCAGGGCCTGCGCCACTCAGGGCGACTCTGGGGGGAACGTGGACCCAGAAGCCCCCAGTGGCTCCTGTTGAGTCCAGCTCTGCCTCTTACCAGTCGTTGGTCCCTGGCCTTATGGCCTAACCTCTTTGGGGTTCATTGGCCTCATCTATTAAATGGGAATAGTTATCCCACCAACCTCATAGAGCTGATGTGAGGATGAAGGGAGTTAAAACGTGGAGAGGACTTAGTGTTTTAAAAAAGTATAGAATACGATCTGAATTCCTCCCTCTGGCCGGCAGGGTCTGCTTGTCCGTCCCCGCCAGCCTCTCGGACTCGTCTCCCCTGTGCCCTCAGCTCACGGGGCCCGGCCCCTGGCCTTGTTTCCTCTGCTCTCACTCACAAGCGTGGTTCGGCCCTCAGGGCCTTTGCCCTTGCTGTACCCTCCGCCTGGACCAGGCTCCCCCAGGCTCTGCAGGACCATCCCCTCACTCCTCAGTTCTCATCACAGAGGTCTTTCCTGGCAAAAGTAACGGTTCATTGATTCATTCGTTTAGCAAACGTTTATTCAGCCACATGCCCAGCATTGTTTCACATACTAGAAAGACAACACAAAAACCCCTGCCCTCCAGGAGCCTGTGCTAGGTTGCTGGTGGGGCAAGAGGCTGATAATAACAGTAAATAAGCAGAATAGATAGTGTGTTGGATGAAGATACATACTGTGGGGGCGGGGGGGACATTAGGAAGGAGGACGAGGAATGCAGGGAAGTGGGTTGCCCTGTTCCATTAGGGTAGCTAGGAAAGGTGTCACTGCGAAGATTACACTTGAGCAAAGACCTGAAAGAGATGAGGGAGGGCACTTGATGCAACATGGAAGAAGAACCTTATGAGCAAAGGAAACAGCAAGTGCAAAGGCCCTGAGGCAGCAGTGTTCCCAGAGCACTTGAGGAGCAATAAGGAAGCTGGTGTGGTTGGCCCCAAGGAGAAAGGGGACAATGGGGCAGATGAGGTCAGAGAGAGAACGAGGGTCAGACCATGCCAGAGTTTGTGAGGCCCTGGAAGGACTTTGACTTCTACCCCGAGAGAGATGGGAGCCATGGGAGGGTTTGAGAGCCTGCAGAGCCCTCAGAACACCCAGCCAGGCTGTCCCGTGTCCTGTTTCATTTTCTTCATATTCCTGCCCTCCTCAGAAGTCACATGTTGGCTCCCTTGTTGTCTGTCTGTCTCCCCCGTGAGAAGGCAAGCTCTTTGCATCCAAAGTTCCAAAGTTGCCTCCTCATCTGGGAGCAGGGGGTACTTAAGCACGTAGTAGGTGCTTAAGAACGACTTGTGGAATGAATGGGCACAGAAGACAAAGCAGTCTGCAAGCCCAGAAGACTGAGCCATTGAATGAGCGCCACCCTCCCGGAGCCTAGTGTAGTTTCACACCTTACGGCCTTTGCACGTGCTGTCCCTGCCACTGCCTGAACAGCCCTTCCTTTCCTCTTTTTTTTCTGTGAAAGATCCATTTCTAGCCACCAGGTAGTACATAAATACACGATGCTCATAAAGATTCGAAAGGTTAAGTCCATTCTCCTTTGCCGCATCCACCAATCTTCGTCTTTTCCTCCCTCCCTGGAAGTAACCACTGTTACCGTGTTTTGTGTGCGTCTTATGAAGACCTTTCTCTATGCAATTACATATGTGTGAGTGTATATTTATATAATTTGTGTATGTATATTTATGTCAATATATATTTATAAATGTGTATTAACTATAGACATCGTAGTATTGCTGGAAAAAATTTTGAGGCACGAAAGCCATCCTGCCCAACATATTTTCCATAACTCGCTTTGTTCACTTCAAGATACATTAAGTAATGATCCACTTCTTTTTTTTTAACTGAATCATGTACCAGAGAATGGCTGTGCCCCTGTTCGTTTTGTCATCTCCCTGCGGATGAACACTGAGATTATTGTTAATTTTTTGGTCTTACAAGCGGTGCTGCCGGGTATCGTCATGCGAGCTGCTGTGTGAAGATGTGCACTGTCTCTCTAGAGAAGTTGCTGAGGGGTGGGAGGGCGGCATCGGAGGACTCTCTTCCCCTTCCCTTCTGCCTTACGACCCCCCCCCCCATATCCAGCATCACCTCTGCCTGCTTGTGAAACTCCCTGAGCCCCTCCACAGAGAGAGGTGATGGTTTCTCGTTCATCCCATCATTTCTCCAATCAGGCAGCCAACAGATTATTCAAAGCACC